GGTTCCTACGAGGCTCCAAGCAGCCGTTTGCAGCCTGAACGAAAAAGTGAAGCTGACACGATTGAGACCTGGAGACTTGTAGACGCACTGATGGCACGTCCATCTCCATCCCGTCCTCGGCAGACTTTAAAAGACTCGGTGAACAAGCAGACGACAGGAACTTCACAGAGATCCCACGTTGGAAATCTGCTTCACATCTTCCTCGTCTGTTTTCGTTGATAGATTCGGGACGTGAGCGTTAGGAATCAGAGCGCCGTCCCTCAAAACATCATGAAAAAATTACATTTTCTTGTTCAGGCCTGTAATTTCTGGTTCTTCTAACATCCAGCTGAGTGGGCAGAGAGCGCAACACGGACAAGTTTTCAGCAATTATCTGTTTTATTCGTCTCTATGAGAGCGAGCCGAACAGAACCAGAGGAGTCACCGTGAGGTGAAGGAGCCAATCAGAGCCTGACAACAGCGATGACTGAAGGTAATGAAGGCGCGAGCCGAGACGTGACAAACCGACATCTCTCCGGCAGGACCATATCCACTTCATAACAGCACTGCCGTTCTTTTATGGAGCTCCACAACAAGGCCTCTGTTCTTGATAAGCCACCAGCGCAATCGTTCACCGGCCGTCGTGCACAAACACGTTTCCTCGCTGTTGGGAAGAACAAAGGAGGACGCAGGGCGGGTGCTAGTTTGTTAGTGAACGCTCTGCAGTCTTATCAATCAACAAAGTAAATTCCAAGTCGACTGGATGTCATCCTGCATGTGGATGTAAACGAGGGGTTCAAAAAATCCAACGTTGAGTTTTATGATGTTTGTGTTTATGGTCGACTAGTTTGTGGTAAAGCGATCCAACCAACAGCCCGTTAGTAACGTCACAATCTGACTTTTAAGTTTGGCCCATAATGGTTTTGGCATAAAAGTGTAGTGGTGATTCAAAATGGTGGACAGCACGACCTCAAGCCCTGTGAAAACTCAACCCGTAGGTACAGTAAGGCAAAGTAAAAACTTAATGAAACACCACCAAGCATCTATTTCTACCCCACGGTCCTCAGAAGTAGCTCCAGTTCCTCATGATCTAAACTCTTCAGTGCTGTTTAGCGAGACAAAGCTTGAATCAGTTTTTTTTCTTCAAAAGTAGAAAATGTGGTACGACCCGCTTTGGTGCTCAGCAGAAGGAAATTACAATACATCATATAGAGAGCAGCTGTTTCTATCTCTGGACAATGTTGAAACATCTCTGGATGCACATAATGTCTCCTCCAATAACCAGGATTTTTTTTTTAGCAACACAACATTTTGACCCCATTTTGCTCTAAAACTAGTAAATGTGGTTTGGTCCACTTTGGTACCAACCCCCTCAAGTGTCTTTAACAATGGTTGAAGAAAAGCCGTTGGTCACTCGACAGCAGAAACGCTACGCAAGCAAATTTATTCATCTTGAAATCCTGAGCACAAGTCATGAACCGCCACAGAAGAGTTTTGTGACGGGAGCTAAAACCAGCTGCTCTCTGCTTTCCAACATTCCAAACTCTTGGTTGGTTTGTTCTTCGGATGGTTCCTCAGGCTGGAATATTCCTCTTCTTCCAGCTTCTGCAGACTGGAAGTCACCTTATCAGCAGGAAGTTGGTTTATCCACAGACATTCATGGTGAGTGTATGAATGTCATCAGCACTGTTTGCACTCATGCAGCCCCATGTCATCGTATAATGATGCTGCCACCTCCGTGCTTCACCGTTAGGACGATGCATCCACTGTAGCGGTCCAAACATCTGGACCCCGTCTGAGCTCAGCTAGCTTTAGGAGTGTGCGCCCAACACTCATCAGGCTTCTTTTCTTGTTTGTAAAATTGCGTTAAAGCGTGAACTTTTGTTAGTTGCTGTTTTTTGGTTCCGGGCCGTCCGTAGAGGTTGGTGTTGATGAACTTCAAACTATCTGGGCCGAGTCTGAAGCAGCTGCCGTGTGTTCTTCAGAGCTAAATATTGCAAGTAATGAACTGTCCGGGGCGTCATTGTAGGCGATTAGCGGTACTATGGCAGCTTCCTAACCTCTTTATTACCGCTGACACTGTGTTTGCTGTCGTTTCTAGTTGACGGTCCTGTAGCATTTTCCATCTTTTAAAGTCTCACCATCAGATTTTTTGGTTTGTTTGGCATTTCTTGTCCATGTGGAGCCATGATGCAGACATGGACACCACCCAAAGGTCAACTGAGGTTATTTTCTAGCCATGTTGATGCAGTTCGTTTAGTTTCAGTGACCAGATCTTCTTTCTTGTTGCGGAGCCTGAACTTCCAGGAAATGCGCTGCTTGTCAGCTTTAGAAATATCGAAAGTCACAAGTGCAGAACAACATGTCAGAGGAATGATTGTACTCTTTACAGTCATTTAGAGTGTGATGGCGACAAACTCGAGCGCCGGCAGACGAAGCACTCGGGGAGAAGAACAGGTGCTTCAGAGAGCAGGAGGAGGATCTCCGACGGGTTTCTCTGATTTGTTCGTCTCCCAGATCATCATCACCGCGGCGCAAAAAAGAGCGACGTTTCATTAAAGAGGAAGAGCCGAGCGGCGTGGACGTGTTTTTATCCTCCATAGAGTTTTACTGACGTGTCGTTTGAAAGGCAGGTTTCACTTTCAGAGGAGAGAAATTCATTAGTCGTGATGGAGAAGCCCGGAGCTCCAAACAGAAACAAGCTTTTACTGTGAACACTGGAGTCTTCAGAAAGAAAAAACTAAACACTTCAAAATTGGCTCTAATCAGGTTCTTTAATCAGCTACTTTGGGCGACGACGACGTTTTCCGCGGGGACGTGAGTGATGAAGTGCTGGGATGATGTCACCAGATTGGCTGATAAACGAGGCGCACACGCGTGATCAATCAACGCGCGACGCTAATTTACAACCGACTGTCTGGTTCCGTGATGAAAAGGCGGCGACTCGGGTAACATTAGCTGGAGGCGCTGCGGGTTTTCTGGGCCGTTAACGTCACATCAGATCGAATACAGACGAACCGCCGTGGACCCGGGAGTTACCGTGCCAACACGAGTCCGGTTGTTCCAGGAAGCCATGTTTAAGGGACCAGGAAACGTCCCGTCCAATGGAGGGAAACTCAAACTGTGGATATTTAGCTTTAGCTTCATATATCAAAAAGTTTCAGCTCATTATTCCTCACATTTAAATTTGAGGCTGTTTGATCGACGACATCTGAGGAACGATTAACGATAAAAACCTGAACTTTTCTCTGTTGTTTCTCATCATGTCATTAATTCAGAAGCTGTAATATTGAACAAATAGATCAAATATTCTCTGATTATGGGTGAAGTTGAAAAATGGGGAATAAAATTAAAGCCGTCATAAAAAAATTCCATCTTTGAGCACAAATTTAATAAAATAAATGATGATGCAAAAGTCAACTAGTGACGTTTTCTGAACCGTATGTACCTACAAAATTGTTCTTTAAATATAAATTATTGTGTTATTTATCATTTTTGGAAGCCAATTTATTTTTGTGGTACTTGCCTCATCAGAAAGTTCTAAATATTATAAAATATTCTACGTGTTTAGTTTTGTATTTTTGTGGCCTGTGGTGCAGAAAATAGTTGACTTATAATTTTTTTCTCTTTTCATGAGGCTTCATTTTTCCCCCCAATATTGTCGATTCTGAATCAATGACACGATGAGAAATAAAAATAAAATTTCAGGTTTTTATCTTCAAACAGCCTCAAATTTCAATGTGAGGAAAGGAAAACCTGCTGAAAGTGGACTTAAAAAATAAAAAAATAGATATATTAATATAAGAAGCAAAAATTTTATCTTTAAAACATCTTTACAAAATATCCACAGTTTAATTTTCTGTAAAAATTTCAGGCAAATCCGAGCTGCTCGGACAGAAAATGCTCTAAAAAGATTTGATAAATTGAGACGAAATGACTTCAGCTTATGATAAAATATGATTTTATAGAAAAACTAAACCACTAAAAATGAAAACAAAGCAGAGAATTTCCCTTTATCTCCACGTGTGTTTTGGTTATTTGTCTGTATTTAAACAGCGTATTGAAGTCGTGTGTTTTCCTGTAACAGATATAAAAGCTTTCTGCTGTTTAACAGGTTTACCAGCGACTGATGTTGTTTACTTTGCTCGCAGCCCAATTACTCCACAAACGCTGTGAATAATAAGTAAAAAAAAAAAAAGAACAAAAATCGTGTTAGGCTTGAATTTGTGCCATTAATAGCCCACATGATTCGCTTCTCTTCATTTCCTTTAACGCCATGTTTGGAAAAGGAAATTGGGTTCAGATAAAAGCAGCGTTTGCTCGGTGGCAGCAGACAGAACACGCGTCTGTTTGGACGTCGTTTAAAGGCAGATTTTTGCAAATTAAATTACTTTTAAATCAAACGTCTCTGATCAAACACGCGGCGCCGCCTCGTGTCCGAGCCGCCGTCTCCCCGTCCGGTCGCCTCTCGTCGGGATCTGGACCACGTTTGCAGATGGTCACCCCTGAGCCGAGCCTCTGTGTGCCGCTTTAAAGCCCAGCGCTCATCAGTATTCCTCTCGCTGTGCAGGAATTAGCTGCCAGAACGCTGCTTTTTCTGCCAACTGTGATCGCGGCCCTCCTTTCAGGACCAGTAAGGTGGACAACAAACCGGCGCTCGTTATGTCTCGTTAATGGGAGCCGGGCGCCTCGGGCGAAGCGCCGCCGTGGTCACGTGCGCCGACTTTAACCGCTTTCTAATCAAATCCCGACTGCCGTACAGAATAACGAACAAATTAGCCGAAGCCCGCGGCCGCAAATTAACGGGACCCGGCTTCAGATTGAACAAAGCAACCAAGAGGGCGCTCCGGGTGGAGGAGCCGCTGAGTAATGTCTCCTGACACCCAGACGTCCACTTTGGAAACGCCGGGGAACATTCATCATCATTATTTAAAGATCTTAATTCTAATGCAGCAGGATATGAACACACGGCATTAAGCTTTCATGGGTCTCTGTGCAGCGTCTGAATATGAATAACTCACCTCAGGTCTTCAGAGGGCCTCGCCTGGATCAGCGGCGTTTCCACCGAGTGACCGAACACGGCGCCGTCCGGACCTGCCCACAGAACGTCAGCGGGTCAGCAGAGAAAACTTCGTCCAAATTCTTTCACGGGGATTATTCCAGATTAAATCAACTAAATTTGAAAAACTTCCTCAACCTCCTCAGAATCTTTTTTTTTCATTTCGTCCAATAATTTGTAAACTTTTATCTTCAAACTATAAATTTTCTCAGAGTCCCTTTTCCACCATTTCTGAGCCTCATAATGAAAAACACGTTTAAACTCTGTTACAAACTGACACCAGATCAGTTTTACGTCCACTTCAGGCGTCATAACAAAAAGACAAAATCTGCTTTTTGTTACCAGCTGCTAGCATCAGTATTATGGGATGTATCACCGTGAGAACAGTCAGACTGCAGCAGTTTAATGACATAGAGTCACAGAAACAACCATCAGTATCCTGGATGTGTTTCCGGTTTCTGATAATTCACCAGAGAAAACGTTAAAAAGTGCATCCTGGGTAAACTTTACCAGCTGGTTTGTGGTCGTTTTTTTGCTTCTATGTGGTGTTTTTGTGTCTCTCCTGACCACGACTACGACAGTGAAGCACGGCGGTGGCAGCATCATGATATGGGGCTGGAGAAAACTCTAAAAAGTGCATTCTGGGTAAACTTTCCAGGCTCACGTGTGGTGGTGGTGGTTGGTCAGAACCAGTTCTAGACAATGAAAAGATCATTTATTCACTCTGTGTCAATATAATTTTCTATATTTTAGCACCTGTGGACGTATTTCATGGCGTCAAAATGTAGAACTTTGGTTTTCATGTTTCATAGAACAGTTTAATCTCATCCATGAACCAGTTTGCAGCGTTCAGAGCTTGTTGAGAGTCTTTAGGTTCTCCTCTGATGAAGCTCAGTTCTGGTTCTGTCGGCCTGTTTCTACCAACAGTGAAGATGTGTCGGCTTGGTGTCAAAAAAAAAAAAAGGTTTTCCACAGAGTGAATGGAGTCTAAAGATGATTCTGGTATCAGATGAAGGTAAAATGATCACCATCACACATGAGCCTCGAAAGTTTACCCACAATGCACTTTTTAAAGGTTTCTCTGGTGACTGATCAGAAACCAGAAACACATCCAGGGAACCGATGCTTTAGAAAGCTACAATCTGAACCCTCCTCCATGTGCGTCCAGCATGAAGGTAAAACTCTCCACTGAATCCTTAAATACACTAAAGTTATTCTGGGTAAGTTGATTCTGAGGACGTCTGGTTGGACTGATTCTTCCTGTTTCTGTCACCAGGTGAGACAGTTTACCTGTGACTGTGAACTTCTCCGTCGCCATGACGACCTCGTCCTCGTCGGCGGTGAACAGGAGCTTTCCTCCGTCTCGGCTTCGCACCTCCAGCCTCTGACACTGGGCCTCCACGGCCTCGGGTCCTGCAACGACAGCGCCTCCTCAGTACAGATGTAAATATTAATGTGGACCAGTTTAAAAAACCTTCATGATCCGAGTTTGATAATTAAGAAGCTTTGTTGCTGTCGACTGTTTGAAACTGTTGAACAAAGGTTGCCTCGTGCGGCTCTGGTCGTGTAATGGGCTCGGGGAGCCGGTGTTTGGGCTTGTAAGGCCATTAGCGATGTGAAATGCTTTGTCGAGTGCTTGCTCTGCAAATGAAAGGCGGCTGACAAAGCTGGATCAGCAGCGCTTTTACAGCCGACGAGGACGAGTCAGTAATCTGCTCCGCTGGTGGGGAATATTAATTCCCGCTCTCCAAACTTTGGTGTTGTTCCAGATGTGCATGCAGAAACTCCCAATGCCCTCGACTGCCGAGGATTTAATTATTCTTGCTGAGTTTCGTCTCATTTCAGGCAAAAAAAAAATAAAAAATGCACCTCCTACAAAAGCCGGCGCTAATTTCCAAAAGGAAGGTCGAGCGTGACCGACGGGGTGTCGTCTGGAGCGCCGCTGTCACATCAGCAGGCTCGGATCAATGGCCGCTAACGCTGAGCAGCAGCTCGTTAATCAGGTAAATGACTTCGGTGATGTGGAGCGACTCGAGGTTGAACAAGAGGAGTCACCGGACTTCCAAGAGGTCTGAAAACGGTGCGACTTAAAGGTGAATTTGTTGCTCTAATCTTGATTAAACCCGTTGACGGTCAGGATTAACCTCCCATCAGTTTGTCAATAAGTTGCAAAAAGCTCTAAATTTAAACCCAGACGTCGATGTTGGTTTTTCCCATCAGCTGTCTAGACCTCGTGGCCGTTCACCATCTCGGGGGTGAAGCAGAAACTCACCGACTGTGAGCTGTCCGGTCAGCTGGCCTCGGCTGTTTCTGGCGTTCATGGTGACGTTCTTGTCCGAGCGCAACACCAACAAGCCGTCCTGGAGGAGAGAGGAGCAAAGCAGGACAAAGAAATGTCGTTTAAAAAAGGTGTAAATCTCATCAAAGCTTTTTACTGGTAGCACATCATTTGGTTGCACCTCCATCAGACTTTACCTGGACTGAGATCATCAACGTCTGCTTATCAATGGACACCATAAATTACTGATGTTCCCTGAACGCATCATGTGCAGGTGAAGGTTGAGCTCGATGGTTCACGTGGATTATTTTCTAAGAACGAATTTTTTATGTACGAATTTCCTACAAATTAATTTTCTACGGGTTTCATACGAGAGCTGGTTTTTATTTTTTACATTTTTCTAAGAGCGTATTTTTCTATTCGTGGCTTTTTCTACTCGAGGAGTTTTCAGTGAGCGGATCTTTTGTCATAGTTTTCTTTGTGCAAAGTTTTCTTGGTGTGAAAAATCTGTCGTTTCACATCTTGTTTCGTGTCTCCTTACAGTCATTTTGTTGAATTTTAGTCATTTTTTTTGAGTCCTTTCTCCCGTTTCATCTTGTTTTTCTTATTTCATGTCTCGTTTATGTCATTTTGTGCGTCTTTTGAGCAGTTTTTGTTTCCTTTCTTTTATTCTGGGTTCTCATTTTGTGCATTTTGTAGTCGTTTCATCTCGTGTCTTTCTCATTTTACATCTCCCTTCTGTCATTTTGAATCTTGTCCTGTGTTGTTTGGTTTTAGTTGTTTCTCTGTGGAGCAGTTTTGTCTCGACAAGTGGAGTTAAATAAGAGCCCAGTTTCTACGTCTGGAGCTTTCTACCAGTTTTCTGCCAGCCTAGCTCTTGTAACAGCAGCGTTTTCTCCATGCTGGGTTTTCTACCAACGGAGTGAATTTTAAACGCTACAGCTGCTCGTCGTCATTCAGTGGGAAACCAAAGTCATGACTGATTAGTTTCCATTTAACGTTGCAGCCTTTGTTCTTCTTCACTGGTTCGGTCTCCATCTCCAGGAGTATCTGAATCCTCTCCTCCTCCTCATCACGTTTATAAAGTGATCTGCTGTAGATTCACCAAACCAGCTAAAAAACTCAACTCAACCCGTCAAGAAACACATTTCATGACAACCTGAAGCTGTGATGGAGCTGCTGTCACCTCGTCTTTGTCTCAATGTTCAATCTGTTTGGAAAGAAAAGGAGCAAATTAAATGAATCAGCGTCGATGTGATGGTGTCTGACCCTCTGCTGGATATCAACCGCTGAGCTAAATGACATTAAGGCAAAACTATGGAACAAATTAAAACTGAATTAGCCGACGCTGGGCGATGAAGTGCAGACAGTCTGAGGAGGACGAGAGTTTTGGCTGTAAGTGACGGGCGTAGGAGGATCCTGTCCTCCGGCAGACGAGCTAACTGTCGACTTCCTGGCAGTTTGCAAAGTTTACGTCCGTTTGACGTTTGAGTGACGGCGCCGAGAAGGTCCAGGATCGGCTCAGGATGGAGGCAACACGGTCTGGACATAACAAGTCTGCTCTTTTAGGTCATCGTCTCTAAAATGCATCGACAACATCACTGACACTAAATCAGAACGTCTCATTTCATTAAACTGAGTCCAGAAGCTTCCTGTGAGCAGCCGACCAGCTTCTACCAGAACCTGTATGAAGGCTTTTATTTCCTTTGTCTCCGTTTCCGTCGTCTCTCGATCGTCTCGATGATTTTCTCGTCTCTCCAGTCAGTTCAGAGTCTATAAACGTCTTATTGTCGTCCAGGTGTTTCTTTCAGACGTAGGATGGAGTCAAACATTCAGCAGCTCATCGATCACTGACTGAACGTATTGAGTAAAAAAATAAAAACCTAAAAAAAAAAAAAAACTGTAAATTATAAGTTGTTCACAAAAAGTGAAAATAAAAACTGAAAACGATCTGACAGCAACGATGTCGAAATAAAATTTTTAAAAAGTAAAAATAAATGATGGCCAGCTGTAAAACTGTGAAAACAGCAGCAAATATGTGTAAAATAAATATATTTACTGCTGATTTTAATGGGGTTAAACTGTCATTTTTATCGTCGAATCTTGTTAAAATATAAATTAAATAATATTTGTGAAAGAGTTTTGATGTGGACATTACGTAAAGTTTTGTTTGTTTTTTACAGTGAAAAAAATGTAAATTAATAAAAATATAGGGGAATAAAATAAGTAGATATGGAAAAACTATAAAATAACTGTAGAATAATATGAATATGCATCAATTTTCCTTTAAATAACAGCAAATATCCGTAAAATAAATATATTTACAGCTCATTTTTGGGGGTAAAACTGTCATTTTTATGGTCGTACATTGCTAAAAATAAATTAAATGCTATTTGTTAACATACAGATCTTTGATGTGGACATTATGTAAATATTTGTTTGTTTTTAACAGTCAAAAAAATGTAAAGAAATAAAAATATAGGGGGTTAAAATAAGGAAATATGTAAAAACTGTAAAATAACTGTAGTATAATATAAATATGCAGCATTTTTCTTTTAAATAACAGCAAATATCTGTAAAAAAACAACATGTTTGCTGATTTAAATTTATTTTTTGAACGTCGTACCATCATTTGTAAAGAAAAAACAGATTTTTGAGGTTTTCTTTGAGCAGTTTTTCTCTATAAAAGAACTAAAGTGACATTTTTTTATCGTGTATAGTACATTGAAGGATCATGTTTATGCTGTAGATGGACTGTTTTATATTTATAATTGCATTAATTGTAAATAAGCGTGACATTTAAACGCTCCACGTTTGAGGCGTTCAGGTGTGATCGGCTTCAGGAGGAGCTCGTTATCGTCTCAGCGTTCCTCTTCACAGGAGTCACTCGGCTCGTCTTCGTCCTCTCGCTGCTCGTTTTAACGCTCGACGTGAACGAACACGAGTTCACGGCGAGGCGTCGCGTCCAGACGTGATACGAGTCCTTTCATAGAGTTTAAGGGTCTCGAGCTGCTTCCTCTGAGGTCAGCAGCAGATCAGAGCGAAGGCCGAGAACGAGGCCTGTTGTCGGAGGTGAAGGACGCTTCCTGCTCACGACCGACGACGTCACGGCCGAGATGAACAACAACACGAACCCTCCTGATGCTGCCAGCGTGTGAAATAGCAGCAGACGTTTTCAACAAAGCGCTCCGTTCGGGGGTTTAGCTGTAATCCTAGCCGAGTATATTTGCATAAATATATTTAAATTTTAATTATATTTGATTGTTGTGCTGGAAGCTCATTTGCATTCTGAGCCGAACGAGCAAATATTTTTTTAAAAAGCTGCCGAACAGGGACGCTGCTACGGCTTCATTCCCTCATTCAGGCATCAAACCTTTTCTAACGGGACAGAAGTTCTCTGAGCAGAACCCATCGAGCTGCAGACTTCTAGAGAGTTGAACAAGTGGACGGTTTGATGCTCGTCAGATCCAAGCAGGTGAAGCTGAGTGAAGCCTCCACCTGCTGCTATTTATAGAGCAGTCGGCTCCCCGGAGACGCCGCCGCCGCCGGCAGCTCGCCATGTGAACAGCACACATCTGATTAAGTGGATCCGGGCGGCGCCGCTTCGCTTTCACACTCAAAGCGAAGTCGATTTCAGGCGTCGCTCTGCTTGTAGCAACAGTTTGAGCTCATCGTTGTGATGATTTGACTGAACTGGAGCTGCAGCAGCCGTCGTTTAAATCCAGAAATAATTCTTTAGAATCGTAGAAATCAGCTTCGCCGACGTCATCAGGAGCAGCTGCTCGACCCAAGTCTGGTTCTGTGACTTCGCTTCACAGGTTTTGCACAAAATCAAAACGTTTCAACTCAAAAGGAGGAAAAACGAGTTTAAAAGGAGGAACAACGTGACCTGAACCTCCTGATGGACCAACACGCCACGTTTGGTAGAAATGTACGTTTTCCAGAGCAAGAATTTCACAGTTTTACTAATAAATCACTTTTAAGCTGCTAAATCCAAAATATCCTGCAAAAGTCTCCCAGAAAATAGGCTCCTGAACAAGATGTCTGAGAGGTTTTAACAAGAAAATGAATTTAGACCCAAAATGTTTCAGGAACCTCAAGAATTTTGCAAATTTATTCTTGTTTAATTTAGTTTTAATGTCTAAAGAGAAATAAAGGACCGTTAATAATAAAGAAAAGCTGCTAAAACCCAAATATTCTGCAACACAGAGACGCTGTTTTAGTCCTTTTAGAACGTTTAGAGGTTAAAATACGACATGCAAAAGATCTCGTGCTTTAATCATCTGATTGTATTTGTTGGTTTTTTTTAATGTCTAAAGAGAAATAAAAAGATAAAAATGTGAACTGAGAGTCTGAAGCCAACAGTTTTACCAATAAAGGACGTTAACGATCAGGAAAAGCTGCTAAAAAACTAAATATTCTGCAAATATCTCCAACGAATCAAGTTATTTGGGTGATTTCAACACAAAAATGAATCATTTTGGAGCGTTTTGAGGTTGTTTTGACAAAAACTTCAGCTTTTTGTTTTAGAAGTTTTAATTATTTTGACGAACTTCAAGAATTTATTTGTTAATTTGCTCTCGTCTGGATCTACTTGTTAGTTTTTACGTTTAAAGAGAAATAAATAACTGAAGTAAAAAAGGGATTCTTGTGGACTATACTGTATAATTATCCATAAAATTAACATTTTTTCAAGTGTCTGAAGGAAACAGTTTCACGGTTTTACCAATAAATGACGTCTTTGATGTTTGTAAAGCTGCTGAATCTAAAATCTTCTGCATCTGTCTGCAACACCAGACCAGATGTTTGGGTTCAGATGAGCATCAAGTTCTACGTTTTCACATAAACATCTGCAAGCTCTGAATCCAGCGATCCTGCGACAGCGAGGAACTTCAAGAGCGACACAGGATTTAAAAAAGACACTCGAGTGGCGCTGTGATTTTCTCGTGGTTATTATTCTCATCCGGTAAAGTTTGCTGAGCTTTGTGTAGAAGCTGACGGACGGATGGATGGACGGAGGAGCACCGAGGAGGCCTCGGGGCAGTAAAACTAATCCAGAGGCTCCTCCATCCATCCATCCATCCATCCATCCATCCATCCATCCATCCGTCCATCCATCCATCAGCTCTGACTGACGGCCCACGGAGGCTAAAGTTAGCCTCACATGAACACAATCCTGAATGTTCGACGTCCAGCTGAGTCTGAAAACCTGGAGATCAGCAGGAAGCTCCTGAAAACCAACGACGGACAGAAAATATCACAGAATGAAACCTGAAAACAGATGATATGTGATGCAGGAGCAAAACAGCATCACATGGACCGCTGCTGCTGATTATTGATTTAAAAAATCTCCCAAACATCAAACTCTGCTCCACCTGCCTGATCAGCAGCAGCTTAAATCGATGTATTAACGTATTTATCAGCAGCTCCAGATAGTTTATCAGCTCCTAGTGTCTGGTTTTACATCCAGCGCTGACTTTTCTGTTCTTTCTATTAACGTCGAGGCTGATTGTTGACAAGCGGCTGCATCACATGTGGAGGAATAAATAAACACTAAAAACATTCCTCGTGTCTGTTTCTGTGCAGCGTGGCGACTAGACGGCATCATTGGTGTATATCTGCTGTATTTCCTGCTCCCTGTAGCGCTCTCATGTACCAACATGCGCCTCTAATTGCTGATTGATGAGGTCACTGGGCTTCCCTTCACAGATCTGACTTCAGCTATCGATCAACAGAAACGGAGCTTCTGAGAGCAGCTTGTGCAGAAATCCGCCTTTAAGCTGCTGTTTGTGGCGAGTGGACGTCGTATCGATCGGCGCCGCTTATCTGAGCGCAGAGCCTGGACTTCATAACCATAATCCTCCGGCCCTCTCGCCGCTCCACATATTTCCTCAGGTGGAGAAACATCGAGCGACCCGCCGAGGTTTTTTTTTTCTTCCTCTGGTGCGGGCAGATAAGAGGACGGCCGCTCGGCACCGTCCGTAAAACAAGACAGTAAAAATGTCTGCAGGTGGTATTGCACCGCCGAGTGAAATACCGGCCGTGTCCGGCGCCGGGCCGGGCCGGAGCCGTGGCCTTGAGGTGTTTCCCGTCGCCGAGCGTCGTATTTAAATCAACATTTAGCTCCGACCAGAACATCAAAGAGCGAGAGTGGGCAATTTCAAGTTGTTTCTCAATCCGCTGTGGCAAATTGGACCCACTATCGAGCCACTTCCTCCGCCGACGTCCCTCAGAAATCAAATTTACATGGAACCCCGGCTTCCAGTGCTTGAAATTGCTTTCTGCACCGTGCCTAATCACTGAGAAAGGGGGATGATCCGACTGAGCGTCTGCGACTCGTGTGGGAGAAGGAAAACTCGGATCAACTTCGCGCTGGAGCCGCGTTGGTTAATCTGCTCGACATCAAAGGGGAGGAAGGAGAAGTGGGAAAATTTATCGCGTGGGCTTGATTGGAAACCCGGAGAGACTGTGGTCGTCCTGTAATCTCCTGGAGGTTGTACGTGGCCTTGGAGGAGCCCATTACCGCCTGCTGCCGATGGGAGGCCCTGATAGCCGCCGCTGGAGGACGGCCGGAAATGAGGAAGCAGAGAGAACAGAACGGCCTCTGTTGTCCAGAACACAACCAAACATCAACGTATCATCAACTCAAAGTTTGCTGCTGACGGATCGATCAGGAGTTCCTCCACGTCGGGCGGATCGATGCCGCCTCAGAGATCTTCCTCCCCGAGAGCCTTCCGCGGTCGATGCCGGTTCTTCCTACTTCGATCAGAAGTCGGTGAGAAAAAGTTTTTAAAATAAATAAAATAAAGGAGCGACTTACCGTCCTGGACTGGATCTCGTTGACGTACAGCGGCAGCAGGAACTCGCTGATCCCCTCCAGGCGAATCCCGTCCCGGTCCAGCTGGAGGTTTCCCATCCCGTCCTGCAACACAACCACGGTTCTGGTTTGAGTCAAAGGATTATCGCTTCCCTGAATGCAGGCCGAGCACGACGTGGACGGGCGGCGGACCGAGCGGAACCGGGCTGACGTGGCCACGAATGTTGAAAAGAGGCGATAACGGAACGGTCAGACTTTAACCACGGAGATAAAACGACACGATTCTCAAATTGGTGAAAAATGGTTTTATTGCCAATCTGATGCACTCCGTTACGACTCCTAGCTTCACCAAACTGGGTCGGCCTTCGTCAAATCACACAGAACTCAGGAAACATGTTGCTCCACCAGCTCACATCAGTTTATTTGTTAATTATTTCAGAGCCAAAACTTTTCGGAGAGTTATTCTTCTGGAGATACTGAACCCTTAAAATGGCTTCTCTGACGTTTTTATGTCCTTAAAGGTGAAAATACTGAATTGTGGAGCGTAAACAGACGTGAACGGAAGTCAGTGGCTGAAGATGTTGCCATACGGTTGTGGTAGTCAAACTTGAGTTCGGTTCTCATGTTGCATACTTTAGACAATTCATGGAGCAGAGATGCCATCAAAACAAAACGACTTTCACACAAGGAGGAAGCCACGAATTTTCAAAACCATCGACCCGGCAGGTCAACTAAAACTCTGCTGGACGTGGGTCAAACTTTAATGAGTTCGGGTTAAAATGTAAGCAAAATCAGGTAAATCCACGACCGTCGAGGTTTCGTCTTCCCGCTCATGAGCAGTCGTTGGGTTTCTCTCCAGAATACGAAACACCTGGAGATGATTGATGGAGTTAACCGGTGCTCCATAAATAACTCTGGATCGGAACCAAACGCTCGCTGCTCTGAACCTGCTGCACGACCAATAAGACGTCTTCCTATGGAGCCTGAGAGATTGGTTGCTCTGAGGCGACAGCGGCGCCACCGATAAGGTCTTCCTCCGGCGACGCAGATTGATGGGAGGCCAAAGAGGGTCGAGGAGCTCGTTGGGTTGTTGTCTGAGATTCACTCGTCGGGTTTTATACGATCCAGAAGAGACAAACAGACGTGAACGACTCAGGCTTTGTCTTGTATTATTATTGTATATTATTATACTGTAAAGTCGACGATCTCGTCCTTCACTTAAAGTGTTTTTATTCCCTTCATCACTGAATGAGTCAAAATCAGATCCTGATTCTGTAACTTGTTGTGACTCCTGCATAAAGTTTGATATTTAATGACACATAGTCAATTAAATCTAAAAGTAATAGATAAACTCAGTGATATTTAACTCTTTATCATCTGTTTTTCCAAGATGAGCTCATTGTACACTGTAAAAAAACTAAAACAATTAATAAGTCACATATTTTAAAAACTGTCAAAATAATAGCATATATGTATTTAAAAAATATACAGTTTAGCAGATGTAAATATTACATTCACATTGTAAAAATAACACTTTTTTTGCTGATTACTGTAAAAACAAAACGTTTTTTGAAAATTGCTAAAAGTTAAACTTCTTCCTTTAACCCTTAGTATAAATTTATTTCTTAAACATAACAGCAAATATCTATAAAATATTTATATTTCTGCTTGTTTACATACAGTAGAAGTTGTATAATTGAATAATTTTCAAACGTTGTAAAAGAACTTATTGCTGTTTGTAAAAACACTGATTTTTTTTCAGACATTATTTACAGTTTTGTGTTAAAGTCAACGTGTAAATTAAGACTTTTTTTCTGCGATTTTACCAAATAATATGTCATTTTAACAAAACAGGGAAAATCTGTAAAGTAAAGGTTAAAAAAAAGCATTTACTGTTTTACGGTTCTTCATTTAAACAACTTTTAACTTTTAAATTAATCAAACAGCAAATATCTGGGATGTATTGATATTTCTGGCAGATTGAAATACAGTCAAACGGTAATTTTACAGTCAAACGTTGTGGAAGAACAAATTACTACTTTAAAAAAAATACAGATTTTTGATTTGAATTTATAGTTTGGCTTTTAAATTCCTAATTGACACGAGTTTTTTGTTCAAATAACAGCAAAAATCTGAAAAATATGAACATTTCTCGTCATTTTAATACTGTAAACGTCGTGTAATACAGTCAACACAGTACAGTTATTATGAATTTAAGTCGTATTTAATATAACTGTTGTAGGATTTATTTCCTATTATGTAAACTACTCAGAAAAACTCTAAGAAAAACACTGACTTTATTGTTTGATCTTGTTGCGTGTTTGTGTTTATTTGTGAAGTTTTCTTCCTGATTTGACGTTAGTTTTACAGTGAAGGACTGTTTTCTAAAGCTACACAGATAAAGTTATTAATATTATCATTACTGTGGAGTCGGAGGTTTGACGTAACATGAGGATTTATTCTAACGTCCGGTTCCGTCACATTCACTGCTTTTTTAAACTCATCTTTAGCGTCTATTCTGAGCCCAACTCACCGCCGAGAAGTTCATGACCTTGATGATCCAGACGGTGAGCGCCAGGTTGACGATCATGGTGGCCAGCAGCAGCAGCAGGAAGAAGTAGAGGCAGCGCTTCCTCCAGCCGTACAGGCCCACCGGGTAGACCGGGTCGCAGCCGGGCCGCTGGAGGTGCAGCGCCTGGGAGGCGAGGATGAACTGCTCCTGGGTGATCTGGAAGAGACACAGCAGCTTCAGCCACCATGCTGGATGTTAGGCCACCAGGAGGAGTCTGGAGGGTTTAGTTTACAGGGTTTGAACAGAGGAACTGAAAGTGAAACAAAGACCTGAAGTATCCACACATGAACATTAATGCTCATGTCCAGCTCTTTATATTTAGTCTGAGACTGAAGCAGCTTCACGTTATTCACTGTTTAAAAAACAAACTTATTTATCCTGATTTATGATGCAGTCAAACCAAAAAAGGCAAAAAAGCTTCAGGCTCGTCCAGAACCTGAATCAGAATATATTTTATTTCCAAGTAGGTCTAGAAAAAAATAAATAAAAATTAAAAATCCGGCTGCAAGAAAAGAAACAAATACGCAACAAAAACAGCAGAACACTGTATCATTTTTAAAAAAGTGTAAAAATGGTTAAAAATAATAATAATAACAGCAAATATATGTAAAAGAATCTCTTTTTTTGTTTATTAAAAACAGTAAAATGGCACAATTTTGTATCACACATTGAAAACTGTATAAATATATATGAACGTGTTGAACACTTTTTTTTCTAGTTTGGGTGTATAAATTAATAGTTTTCTAATTAACTTAACAAAATTGGAAACAATCTGTGAAATCCGTAAAAAAAAAAAAAAAAAAGAATTGTTTACCTTTTTTTTGGTCTTTAATATACACATTTCTTCTTCCATATAAAGCCAAATATCTGTAAAATTCACATATTTTTAGCTGATTTAATACATTAAAATAGTATTATTTAATAATCAAACTAAAAAGAACAAAATGACCATTTATGAAAATGCTAATGTTTGATGTGAACATTCATTTACATGATTTAACAATTATTCATTATCTGTCATTTACCAAAACAGATAAAATCTGTAAAATAACAGGGAAAAAAGAGAAAAGAAAAATTAGAATTAGAATTTTATTTAAATAACAGCAAGTATCTGTAAATTTTAGCTGATTTAAATGAAGTTATATATATATATATAAATTCATGGTCTCTTTTTACTTGTTAGTGTCTGTAATTTAACAAAACAGGGAAAATATGTAAAATAACATTAAAATGCAATTTTTAAAAAAGTAACTGTTAGAAATAATGAATTTGTGCTTTGCTCAATTAAATATCGTTTAAAAAAAAAAAAGAAGTAACTTTACAGTCGAAGGTTGTAGAAAAATTACTGATTTTACTTTTTTTTTTTTTGAGGTGTAAAGTAACAAGTAAATAAAGTTATTTCCCAATTTCAGTTCTTAATATATCAAGTTTTTTAGTTTTTCTTTTTTTTTTTTTTTAAATTACAGTAAATGTCAGTAAACGTTATCAGACTGGGGTCCTGTATCAGCAGCACTACAAACTAAACGACTCGGGTCCTAAATCCGGGTCACACATGTCCGTTATCTGGTGCAACTTTTGTGATGACACAGCTGGAAACAGGAATCCGGAGACTGAACCGGCTCCGAGTGATCAATCAGAGGCGCTCGCCTCCAAGACAAGGTCACCGAGGCGACATTATTGTATTAAAAGAGAAACAACACGTCGTTTCAAAGGTGCTGCGCTTCGTTCTGCTGCAGCGACGCCGGATCATCCGTCAAGATTCATCGATTACCAGTTTGCCGTCAGTCGTGGGAGCGACTGGCCCAGAAGTGGAAAAAGCTCCTGGACGGGACGCTCCAGATCTGGATGCTAACGAGCTAATCAGGGTGATTAATGTAGGCTACAGTGTGGAGGAGCGGCCGCTGTCACCTCCGCTTGTATTTACGTTCTTCAGGCTGACAAGTCGTCTGTGTGGCTTTAATAACGTGTCACAGCTTTGTTTTCGCTGCTAATTACTGGCTGACGTTCTGTCATCCCGCCATGACTGGAAGTTTTCCTGCAGCTGACCCGATCAGCTCCGAGCGCTGCTGCCTGTCGACGCCTCGCAGGGAAAATGTGAGACGCTTTCATGGAGCTACTTCCAGCAGAAAGTTGAAAACAAGCACCACGGAGCGAGTTTTCATAAAAGAACGACCGTTAATCCCAAATGTTTGGGAGAGCGGCTACGTGGTTTTGACGTCAAAATGCGTGAATTTTAGTACAAAAAATCCAAATTTGCATGTCGTAACTCAATAACTTAAACCTGAATAGCTAGCTTTAGGCCAACTTTTGTCAATTATTAATTTATTTACTCATGGCACGGTGGTGGCAGCATCATGATGAAGCACGGTGGTGGCAGCATCATGATGAAGCACGGTGGCGGCAGCATCATGATGAAGCACGGTGGTGGCAGCATCAGTAATTTGTTATGACATTTTCTGTGTTTTGTTTTTTTTTTCTAGAGATTTATTTTGTATTTTAATTCTAAAAATGTGAAAAAGTCCCGGAAACAAAGCTAGCTTGTCGACCTTAAATTCAGTAATTCAACAAACTCAGTCCCACCAGTTCATTAAATACTGAGTTACAGGATATAAGATGTAATTTACTGATTTTGACCATTTTAATTTTTTTTAAAAAGTTGTTTCAGTTATTTTCAGTATTTGCTCTTATTAGCAACATTATTTATTTATATGTTTTTTACAGTTATGGTTTTATCGTCTATGTAATGTTTGTAGTTGTGAGTTTTTGGTGGCTAATGTCTATTTTTTTATCTTCTAATTACTGTAAATGCCAAATCTTGTGCCCATGTGACAGTTTGAACCATATTTCCTCCACTGATGGAGCGACTCCATCACATCTCCATCACCTCATACCAACGTCACCAACACATGACTGACTGTCTTCTGCGTTAATCGGAGCAGGATGGAGCTGAACGAGGACGGAGGGGCTGAGCTCGTAAAACGTTCTGCTCTCCGAATAGAGAAGCTGCCAGCCGGCGAGCAGCAGCAACACGAGGCGCTCTGATCTGAGATCAGAGGAGATGATGTCTGTGGAGCGCTGCCGTCCAGGCGAAGGCGGATCTCCAGCGGATCGTGACCGTCGGCTGACAGCGTGAAGCTCCCATCACGGAGGCTGGAGGCTGGAGGCTGGAGAGGAGATACCCAGCAGCAGCAGCAGAATGTTTTTCACGACGTCCAATCATGTCAACAAGTTTGTTTCAAGTCGCCTTTAATTGGCCGACACACTTAATTGACACACCTGTGCTCGGTTTCCCCCGGAGGACGCCGGACGTGAGGCGCATTCACAACCCGAGTCACGCTTTATTCACACTCAGCACGTCGTTAGCGGCGGCCGCTGACGGCGGGCTTCATTAGCTTGTATGTTTTTCCCTGACAGGCTCTCATTAACTGTGGCAGCGCGAGAAAAACCCTCTTTAGCTCCGCGAGCTTCTCCAAGAACACCTAAAGGAGTGGAGTGTAGTCGCAGCTTGTTCTGAACAAAGGGACGGGAACATGCGTTTAACAGTCAGCCCGCGAAGGAACTGTGTTGTGGCAACAAATCAATATCTCCTACAGAGGAGGGCGGCTGATGAATTTTAGTCGTTACAGAACCAGAGACTCTCAAGTTGGTTTTGTGTAGCAGTGAAGCTGAACAGACTCACGAGCTTCAGGCGCTCCATGGATTCATGCAAACACCTGCGTCTCCAGGCATTTATCAGACGCTTTGTGGACACAACTGATGATTGTTTCATTGACTTAAGAGACGAAACTGAAGTGAATTTTACTTCTGGTCGTAAACAAACAGATTAATCAAGAATTAAATTTATTCATCAGTTGCAGCTTCTGTTGAACTGACAGTCAAAACGTCTGTCGTGTCGTCTACGATAGTGAAGCATGGTGGTGGCAGCATCATGATGAAGCACGGTGGCGGCAGCATCATGTCATAAGAAGTGACAAAAAGAAAGTGAAAAGACAAATTCAGCTCCAGAAAGGATGATGTTGACTAAAATCAGGTGAGCAGTATCTTGTAACTGTTGCCATAACATAAAGGAACAACTGTTCAAATGAAGCCAAACCTGAATGGATTCCAAACCAAACTAAATATTTTGGATGCTTTTGACAGTGTTCTAACATAACAGAAAGGTTCCTGGTGGCTTTTTTATTTTTGATGTTGACAAAATCACCCCAATAATTCCTAGAGACAGATGTTTGTTTTCCATTTTGAGTTGTTCTTAGTCATTTGTTAAATACTAAGCATCACAATGTCAGCTTTCTCATCCTGTGCCGTCCTACAACCAACCACAAAAGAACAAAATCAACGTATTTTCATTAAAAACCGATCTGGGTGTATTGTAGGAACCCATCAACATGTGTTGCTCTGCTTGTGCACTGAAGCCTCTCCTATGAAAACCTTCCCACTGCTGGTCCTTGAGAGAAAGACCACGAATGGCTGAACAATCCGTGACCCTCAGCATCCAGCCGCTGTCCTCCACCGGCTTTCCTCCGCCACACAACTTAATCCAGTCTTCGGGCGACCGTTTCCACGGATGGAGAGTTTGTGTCACAACTGCCAGCGGAGGCAAACGTCTCAACAAATAGATGCTGCGACTTTGCAGCGAACACAGACGACCCGTATCGCTGGCCTAGAAATGTCAGCGGGTCCAATTTAACCGGCGATACAGCTGAAGGACGCCACCAGAGGTGCTGACTGTACACCCTCCACGCAACGTTCCTCAACAACGTTAGATGACGGCGGACGCACAGCTCGTAGTAAAACTATCAACTCAACCTGGCTGTTCTCCCACCTCATCGCTTACAATCAAATAAAAGCCCAGCTGCGATCCAGTCTTCCAGCCTACAGCCGCGGCCCTGCTGGACAAGATTCAGTCTATTTTCAATCCACTGTTGCCAAGGGAAACTCCAGCACTTGTAATTTCTATGGCAACCCACTGTTCCCAACGCGAGCGGATCCTGTGATTTCTTTGCAGGAGTTTTAATGCATATATTACCCCGGTGGAGTCATGCCTCCTAAAGCTCGGTTATTCACAGGGCGGCCGGGGGAGTGCATAGTGGCTGGCGTTCTGTCAACGCGTCCTTTCAGCATTCTGGTCACTGCCGGCTCTCACAAACAGAACAGGA